TATATATATATATATATATATATATATATATATATATATATATATATATATCCATATCCATATCAGTAAAAGAGCTATTTTCATAGCTCAGGTTACCTTATCATAAGGCTTATGTCTTGTACTGATGAAAATAAAGATGATATTATATTATTGTTATTATTGTATTTAATCAGTAAAGGTATTGATACTGAGCTTTGGAATAACTCGTACTATCCATGAACAGTATATTATAAAGTAGTAAAATATGTCTACAGTGCTAGTATTTTATGCTGATTTTTTTTCAGAGCAGCTTCTAAAGTTCTATCTATCATATGCTGGGTGAACACATCCCTGATTAATGTTTTTTAAACATGGTTTTCAAGCTCTTCCAATAATAACACTATTTTCTTTATCTTTTTGCACGTCTGATTCACCCGGATTTTCAACAAAAGCGTAAGTTTTATTTGGCATTTAAGTGAAAAGTATTTGCTTTTGAATCTACACTGCTTCTGTTTCCTTCATTGTTCAGCCTTGTGGCAAATAAAGCACAGAATAAGCAAATAACCAATTAACTAAAATGAATCATTGAAATTGAAATATGGACCATAGCCTGGGTTTAATCACCCAGCACTGAGAATTTGCTGGTAGAGTGTTGACAAACTTGTGCCTTGAATAAGGCTATAATAAAAATATTGTTTGTTTACCCTCACCCGACCGACCCGCCAAAAAGGGGCCGACTAAAATTTTTTTAGTGATCTATCCCATTCTTTTTTTTTTTTTACAAATTATCATTCTTACATTATATAAATCTGTAGGAACAAAACAAACATTCAACATAAAAGGTATCTCCACACAAGCATACCCGAGCATGTAGACACCATGCTGAATTTGTAAAAACCCAGCCCCCTCAAAAAAAGCCTAGCTACCTACCCAAACTTTTGAGCCTGGGTCGGGTGAGGGCAAACAAAGGTTTTTTTAATTGTGGCCTAACTGTCTCTGAATCTTGCCTAACTATGTGTCGATGGAACAATATACATGTTTTTTTTTTTAGTTTGATAGCCTTGGCATTTGCTGCATCAGTCGGTCTCACACTGGTTGTACTGGCATGTGCTCTCAAACCGTTTGGGTAAGCAATTGCCTTGGTCCATAAAGTCATTAGCAAAGTGATTAGTCTAAGAAAAAATAGCTATTTGTATAAAAATATGAACATCTAGGTTCAGTAATCAAACATAATTATATTACAAACGTCATTTAGAAAGTCCACGAGTTGTGCAAAGGGTCTCGGAAATTTAGTTGAAACTTTTCTAGTGATTCGTAAGTTTCCACACAATTATCACGAGTTTTCGACTAATCGGCTGCATTTGTGTTTACAGCGTGTGGTGGCCGCTGTTTGTGCTGTTCTTCTTTGTGATAGCACCCATCCCAATGGTGATTGCACGGCGGTAAGATAGCTGTGAATTGTTTTCCAATGAGCTCACTTGAGTAGTAGTGACTGTGCAGTAATGGCGAACAATGTCTCCAACTATTACATTGACCACATGATGTTGGAATTTGAAGTGTTTCTATTAATTCAGGATGATTAGTAGGCAACCCATAATTGACATGTACAAAGCTATTTATGATTCATAAAATGAATCATTGTCTTTGTTTTGCGTGCTTGTTATAAAATATCTGAATTTAATACGGATTTGCAGGTTTCAGTGTTTTTTTAGTTGCCAGTTTTTAAATCGGTGTAAATTCATTGAAAATGTTTGTGGGAGGTGGGAGAATAATTTATTATTAGTATGAGACCAGCAGTAGCTCCATATCGCATGTGATTGTCAATGTCAAATTTTTACAGTAGACCCTTGTTTACTGTAGTAAAACAATAGAGCAATAACATGTGAAGTGCGTGTCAGTGGCAAGCCCTTTTTTTTAGTTTTTATTTGAGAATTTTTTTCTGGGCCTTAAGTGAGTGGCAAATAAAGATTATTATTATTATTGTTGTTGTTGTTGTTATCATTATTATTATTTTGTTGTTATTGTTGTCGTTGTCGTTTACTTGCAGGTACGTCGATGAGATGGCGGTCAGTAGTGTACTCATCGAGGTCGCGATGTTCTTGACCACAGGCATTGTGATCTCTGCATTTGCATTACCCATCATCATGGCACGATCTCCGAAGGACAACCCCGTTGTAAGCTCTGCAGATGTGATAATGTAGAAGGACACACAGTGAGAGGCAGCAGCAGCTAAAGTCGATGTGAATCTTGCTGTTCAAAAGAGCCGACTACTGTTGCGATGTGTCTATCTCTGTTTCTCAATAATGTATAATCAGGGTTCTGCCCACGGTGGGCGGCGGTGGGCATGTGTGCCCGGCACTCGCGGTTGCCGCCCGGCACTATATATCTCCGCCCGGCACTAATTTTTGATATTAAAAAAAAAAGAAAAAAAAAGGTTTGATATATGGGCTTTTTATTACTCAGAATGCAGGAAATTGAGTTTCAGACTATCCAAAATCAAAAGTTTTCCGGGGGCATGCCCCGGACCCCCCTAGATTGGCTTCGCGCCCACGGCGCTTGCATCGTCGCAACTGGATGCGCCCGACATAAAAAAATCCTGGGCAGAACCCTGTATAATGTAACACACTTCTAAGCTGCTTATTGCTCCTTGCTTTGTATAATGTCTTTGTTTTGTCTGGTGATGTTTTATGCGTATATCATCCCAACCTCGGCTGACCAAGTATTAGTCTCTTCATATTAATGCATGATTTTTACCTAATGTGTTTTCCAGATCAAGTGGGGAGCCTGTGGTCTGATATCGGCTGGAAACGTCGTCGTTTTCGTCACAATTCTCAGCTACTTCATCGTATTCAATAACGAGGACATTGACTACAGCATGTGGTAGCAGAGAGCGTGGCGCGAGCGAGAAACACTGTTCACACGGTCGCGCTATGCACTACGGCTTGAGGCTCGCCGTCCACGTGTGTTGTGCTGTGCTTTGAAAAGATTGCTTCACGGATTGAGGGGCGGAGAGTGCATCGCTGCTGACTGGCGGGAAATCCAGCTAAAGTCGTGAGGGCCGTGGCATTGTGATTGGCGAAACTAGTCCAGAATACCGCAATTGCAAAGTCGCAGCTGAAATGTCACTCACAAGACACATTACTGCGCTCGTCGCCTCACTGCCACCTCACTCACTTCACTGCCACCTCTAACGCAACAGTGACATTGCGTGCAACCTGACCCCTAACCAGTGGTCTGCAGAACTCGCACACTTCATTTTCTACACGCTACGAATTAACGTGGCGTTAGCGATCACTGAGTGACGTGCACACCAGCAGAGACCCTAAGACTCGCTCACCTGCGCAAGCTGTGCAGGTGTTTAATAGATGGCGCTGGAGGCATCGCAGATTGTCTCGTGCGGGGAATCGCTGCTACGCTGCAGCGTACACGAGGGCAGACTGATGGTCACGCGCAGCAGGTTCGAGCGCGCTACTGCCGAGTTCGTCGTGAAACAGACGTGCTGGTTCCCCGATGGCGAGGCGGCGCCCGATAGAGGGCGCCCGTGTCGGCTGTCGCTGCTCGACTGCGGCGCGTTCGCGGAGGTGGCGTACGTCGTCGTGGCGCGAGGTGGCGCCCCCTGTGAGGTGGTCGTGCTGCGCGCCACGCCGTGCGCGCGCGAACGAACGCTCGCCGCCGCCGCCGACGACGTGCGGCTCGACGTCTGCTTCGCGGCGGCGCCCCCTGCCGGCTGCTCCTCGTGCCCGTGTCTCATCGCCGGCCCCTGCCTGCTGTGGGCGGCCGACGGCGGCGGCGGGTGCGTCGTCGCATCGTCGTCGTCGCGCGTCGCTCGCGTGGGAAGCTGCGAGCTCGCTGCGGATGCGGTCGTCCTGTGGTCGGGCGTCGTCGCCGGCAACGCCGCGCTGGCGTTCGTGAGGTCGGCTGCCGGCGGCGGCGTGGCGTTGATCCGAGTGACGGACGGCGAACCGGCGGTGGCCGACGTCGCGGACTACGTGACGGCGGCGCACGCCGCAGCAACGACGGCGCTAGACGTCGTGGCCGCGCGCGACTGGTCGCCGCGGGGGCGCCACCACGGCGTGCTGGCGTTGGCGGCGACCTCGCTCGCGCAGCTCGTAGAGTTTGCCGACGGCCGGCCGCGCCGCTGCTGCCGACTGCCGTTCCGCGACGCCGCCGCCGTCCTGCGGCTCCGCGGCCGCGCGGGACAGCGCCACCTGGCGGTGCGGTCGGCGTCGGGCGACGTCGCCGTCGTCGCGTACGAGGAGTTCCGCGTGGTCACGCCGCGCGAGCCGCTAGAGGGCGTCGCCGCGGCCGTCGTCGGCGACTTTCTCGGCGACGGCAACGAGCAGCTGCTCTGTTGTCTGCGTGCTGGCGCGGCGACTGTGGCGCCCCCGTGCGGCAACAACTGGATCCTCACCGACCTTCAAGGTGTCAGGTTGACGAGCGGCGGCGGTGCGGCGGCGCGCGTGAACGCGTGCGAACCCGAGAGCTTGAGGAAGGCGGCGGCAGCGCTGGCGCAGCGCGCGCGGGACGGCCAGAGGGCGCTGCACGGCGAGGAGCGGCGGCGGCGCGACCGGCAGCGGCTGATCGCGAGCAGCTGGGCGGCGATACGGAGAACGGTTGCCGGCGGCAACGACGACGACGACGACGACGAGCCCGGGATCGGACTCGTACCCCTGTTCGGGGATCGGGCGGCGAGCGCGGCGCCCCCTGGCGGCGGCGCGAGGCGGCTCACCGTGCAGCGGCGATGGGTGCGGGTCGTGAGAGAGACGCTTGTCGTCGGCGTGGAGCTGCTGAACGAGGGCGCCACCGCAGCGTCGTCGCTCTCGCTCTCGCTCGCCGCCTCGCGCAGCGCTGCCTGCACGTCGCACAGCCGCGTCGTGAAGATCACCGGCAGGGGGCGCTACCAGCAGCACGCGGCGCCGGCGGAAGGCGGCGTTCTCGCGTTGCTGAAGCGCGAGATTCGCGCCTCGCAGCGATCGCTGAAGCGCCAGCGGACGGAGGCGGAGGAGGAGGAAGGGGAGGGGGTGTACGTCGCGGGCTGTCAGGCTGGGTGGGAGGAGCTGCGAGCGGGGGAGCGCGGCTGCGTGGTCGCGCGCACGCCCCTCCCCGACTTCACGTCCGACGTCGTCACGTACGATGCCGTCGTCAGCTACGTGTGCGGCGGCGGCGGTGAGGTGGCGACCGTGTGTGCCACCCTGGCAGTGTGTGCCAACGACATTGCTGCCATGCAGGCGCGCCTCCCCGCGACAAACACCGCGCGGGAGAAGGTTGGGAACACTTCTGCGCGAAAGGAGAAGGTTGGGATAACTCCCACGCAAGCGGAGAAGGTTGGGATAACTCCCACGCAAGCGGAGAAGGTTGGGATAACTCCCACGCAAGCGGAGAAGGTTGGGAGCACTCCCACGCAAGAGGAGAAGGTTCGGAGCACAACCGCACTGGAGGAGATGGATTGGAGCGCAGTCGCGGGGGAGGAAGAGGATCGGAGCACGACTGCACAGAAGGAGAAGGCTTGGAGCACTTCCACGCAGGACGAGGAGGTTCGGAGCACGGTCGCACAGGAGGAGGTCCGGAGCACGGTCGCACAGGAGGAGGTCCGGAGCATGGTCGCACAGGAGAAGGTTCGGGTCACGACGGCACAGGAGGAGGGTCGCAGCACAGTCGCACAGGAGGAGGGTTGCAGCATGGTCTCACAGGAGGGTTGCAGCATGACGGCGTGGGAGGAGGAGGATCGCAGCACGGCTGCACTGAACCTCGTTCAGACTGCAGTGAGAGTCGACGTGCGATCACTGCACACCAACCTCGCGCGCATCATGCCCGCCCTGCTCGACGACGCCATCGTCGCCGGCGAGTGGCTCCACTGCCAGGGGGCGCTGCTCGGTGCGCGGCTGCATCTGTTGGAGACGCGTCGACGCAGAGTAGCGGCCGTCATGTACGGCTGGAGCGCCTCCCAGGTGGCGCTGCTCGCGCGGGAGTTGTACGCAAAGTTGCCAGCAGATGTCAGCATCGTCCCCCGCGATACATGACAATCATAACTGTCGATTTGAAAAAGGAGAGAAGGTAATGAATGTAATTTTGTGACTGTCGAATCAGGGGTGTATCATACCTGCTATTTAAATGATTTGTTTGTGATAGAATATTAGGAGAGAATATAGTCAACCATGCATATACCGAGTGCATTCCTGTTTTAATTGGTTGATGAAACACTATATTTTGCAGTTTTATTGATGTGCAACTGTCCGAATTGTAACTTAGAAATTAAATTTGTATATTTTCATGTAAGTAATCTGGCATTTAATCCTGTCATGGAAATCCGCAGATAGGAACCAAACCATTGTGGTCCCTACAATATGTGTGAAACCCGAGCTAGGCCACACAACAGTATCACAGCATAACGAACCTGCCATGTACAGATCGTTCGTCTGATATTAGCATGTACTGTACGAAATCCGGTATATTGTATTGATGCGTTTAGGCCTGGTGAGACTGCTGTGTGTGAGGCTGACTGTATTATAATAGATTAAATGAGAAAAGGATTTTAATATAATTTGAATTGTGACTGAGACGAAACGAATGTTGTAGTGAAACTATTCTATTGTATGTTAATATTTAAAGGCCAATAAAGGCTTCTGTCATTGCAACCCCAGTCTTGTATACTAATTACTATACTTTGTGTCTGTTGTGCGAACACAAATAATGTCATTTGCAACCACATTGTGTACTAAACGGAAAGACATTCCCAAAAATACTGGCAATAACAACAAACTGAAACCAAGAGAAGATGATTTTACAACAAAACACAGACTTAAATTTATTCTAATGTTATTAAATATCTTAACGACTACAAACAATCTGTAAAATATGTAGTTGTAGTTTGTGTGCACTGTAGTAGCCATGGTGGCACCGCAACCAAGTTCAAGGCCTGCAAACTGTACGCACGTATGTTACACTACATACCACGGGTAATCCATGAATCCAATACATTCATAAGACAGTATCCTACCTACCACCTAACGATCTACACTTTAAATTACTACGTTCTCAACATGTCAAACAGACCTCGATTAAGCCTAAACATTTCGGTATGCCTTGAAAGTGACTGCGGGTGCCTGTACTGACTACAGGTGTTAACATCAGTGACTAGTTTCAACGCTAGCTGCTCGTGGTCGCCACGCGTGAATGTAGAGAGCGACCCCGCATCGGCAGCGGTCGGCAACGTACAACCAACCCTGTCGGCTCTACGGACTGGTCGGCCCGCCGCGCCACAGCCCTGGCCTCACTGCCCTCTCTCGTGAGGTGACCAAGCCCACTCGTGCACAGGCACTGTCAAGGAATGGTGGTGGGCCAAGCAGCAATCGCGCACGTGTCAGAATGAAGGTAAAATAAAACAACAACACGTAGCATAAATATGACGATGTGCACAGAACTGTACAGCCCCGCAGCCGCGGCCAGCCGCCATGGGTAGTCATCATCACAAGTTTACGATAGAACTGGAAGGCAGGTACTGCGCCCCGTGTTGCCTGGCTGAAATATAGGCCAACGGAATTACAGTTAAAATATTGCTCGCTCGATCGGTAAAAGATCGAGATCGACTGATAAAACAACATCTAACATGTCAGCGAGCAATTATAACACCGGTGAACGCTTTTAAAACCTAAAATTGCCGACGGGGTAGACAATGTGTGAGCTCGCAATTTCTTTAACAAATTTTTGCACTTCCCCGGCCGTACGTATAACATACGAGTTAACCTACTTTGCATTGCACGGTCAACAAAAACTAAACTAGAAACACCTGTAAATTCGTATGGCAACAGCGTAGGCAACAAGTAAAATGCAATAAATTGCATAATGCATTCCATGCAATAATTCCGATTCTGGAAGGGAAAAAAACGAGTTTGATATAATGTAGATGGCCCAAGTGGCCCAGATCTCTCATTGTTCAGGTATCCACCAGCTGGCAGCACATGCAACACTGACAAACAACAATGCTGACTGAACTTGCCCACTCTGTAGCTAACAATTAGCTACCTCCCCCTGCTCCAAATATCTGCTGTCTCACTTCTCTCAAAAAGTATTCACGGAATGCTAGCAGCTTCCGAAATCCCAGCTTTTAGGACATGTGCATGCCTCACCCACACAATTCAAAGTATTGTACTCTCTCAGAGAGAAATCTAGGCAATCATGGGGAATAGGATGAAGGAAGAAACTCACGAGGAACACTTCACCGATGGAACAAAAGAGTGTGTATGTTTGTGCTAGCGAGTATGATGATTAGGCGGTAGACCATGGGTAGGTTGACAGCATGGTGGGTGGGTGGGTCGGGAGGTAACACTTGACTGATTAGAACGAACAAGCTCACCCATCACAGACAGCACAAACTCCACAAGATGCAGTATGCAAAACATCCACGTGTACCACTTGATTTCTACAACCATTTCATCAGAATTTCTATTTTTTAAACAACAATCTGTACATTCATAAAGAAGCCCTCTGCCCAGCAGTGCCATGTCCCACATGCACTACAGGGTACTGCTGACCAGAAGGGCTGTATATTAAAGCCTAGCGACACAAACGTTCCCCACATATCGTACTAATTGCAGCCCCAAGACTGTAGCTGACACAACGTGACCTGCAGTAACCGTGTGCAAACTCTTCACAGCTGTTGCTTAGCAAGTATTAATGTCGCCAGTCTAAGCACTGTACGCCTCGCCGTATCGGTAAAGCTGTGATGACTGTTATAAACCATCCCTTCACGCTTCTGCTCAGAACATCCCGAGCTCATATCATAGCCAGTCAAACCCTCCGAGTCCCACAGATTTTCCGACGCAACAGAGGCAAGTCTGGAAGACGTTGTGTGGCGCGGGTCATCTCTCTGACCCTGGCGCACCCTAGAGTCTGTAACGCACGTTTACTGCCTGGAGTCAGGCTGATGGGCTGCAGTCGTTCAGGCGCACTCAGACACAGGGTCCATCTTAGCAAATATATACACACACGGCGCTGTGCACGTGGCGCCATCCAGTGAGAAGCTGGCTCAGAAATCTGCAAATTCCTTGGCGCATTTCTCGGTGGAGGAGATCCGGAGCGGTTCCTCTTCGTAGTCATCGAAGTTGCTCGGGTCACCCGGACCCTTGCACTTGGGAATGAATGGTGCCTCCACCTATGGGATATGATCAGATGCAATTGTCAAACACAGATTACAACCTGCATGGGAATTGCTGGGCAGTTTTAATTCGAACGTGGCACCGACTGATAGCACATGCGTTACCCCGAAGGAATTTTGACGCTTGTTGCTCTATAAGCGAGTTCGTAGTTAGCCAAGGGGTTGAGTGATGTCACAGGTCACCGGGTCATTTGTGACAAAAATCGGTGACATCTCGAGTGCGGCGTGCGCTCTCGGTTCAGTACGTATATGTACATGTATTCTTTGTACGTGAACACGCACGAGTACGCACGCACATGTGCACACGTACACACGCACACGTGCACACGCACGCATGCACACGTGCACACGCACGCATGCACGTGTACGTACACACGCAAAGACTGTAGCATTACAACAACACAGATGCATGCATATGTGTACTGTGCGGTGGAAATACGAAATGTTTTTCACGAATGACCTAACCCGGAAAAATTCGTGGCAAAGTTCGCGCATGCGCAGACTGTAATTACGAACTCGCTTATTAGACTAAGAGGGACCCTAAAAAAGTTGTAGCACCACCTCTACATACTTTGTCTGACATCATAAAAGGATAGTATGATACCTGCTGAACATTTTGGGGTATGATGTACTAAAGAAATGTTGGGCCATCACCATAGCAACAGCCAAGCAAACATGGATACTAGGACTCCTAAATTTACCACGAGTGTCTATTTTTAGCTTAAATTTGTTATTTTTGAATTAGATTTATTCACATGACTTTAATTGCGTTTACTAGAAAGGAAATAGTGATAGTTAATTTTAATCTAAAATGTAATTTCTTCAGGAAACCGTTGTCATGGAAACAGCACAAGATTTGTCGCGTTAAAAGTGCCAAAACAACCAAATTATTCTGCTTATAAAGAGGGCACAGCACCTATGTAAATTTTGTTTGACATCTATTATGAATACCATTAATATTCCGTTTGTGAAACAAAAACGTCCATAAGGCCAATATTTTCATTGTTGTGATGTCAAACAATATTTACATAGGTGATGTGCCCCCTTTATAAAGCAGAATGATACTGGAAGTAACTTTTTTACTTCATTTTTTATTAAACTATGCTTGAAATAAGTCATATTCGATACTTCTTTTACGTTTTAAACCGTTTTTTTTTTTTTATCTTTGAAGACTTCATCTTAAAAACTGCTTGCCATTTAGCTAAGAATGGACTATAACGAGAAAGTAAAGCTTGTTTATGTACAGTCCATATTAAAAGTTAAGAGTCGCATGCATTCATGCAGGAAACACAATTATTACTGATTATTATTTACTTAGAAATGATTACAATGGCATCGGCATAGACTGTGAGAACTAGAGGCAAGGTTTGGACCTGCAGCAGGCAGCGAGCGAGCGCGCTCGGATATTAGAAGTCGACAAAGGTGTCGTTGCAGGCGTCCTCCTCAGCGATGTTAAACATTGAGTCGTTCTCCTCGTATTGCTGGAAATGCCGCGTGTCACCATCGCTCTTCAGCTTTGGAACAAGTGGTGCAGACATCTGCGGGCGGCAGGCACATGCAAACGCGCACGCACAAACACACACAGGCGCACCACCAGAAGAAAATAGTGCAGAAAAGAGTCACATGCAAAGAGAAGAGAAATGGTTAATGAAAAAAAATTTGGTAACAAAAAAGGTCTTACATGCGCAGTGCTAAAAATAAGCCATGTTCGGTTGTCTGGGCCATGCTAAAACACAACCCTAGACAATCGAATTATGTCAACAAGAAGCTATTTATAACAGCTGTAACAGATTCCAGGCATTCTTCAACTTTTTAATGACTATATTGTGAACATATTCAGGAGCATAGTTTTTAAAAAATCTACAAGGATACGGCTTTACAGCATTTCATATTGCTGGATATTTTTTAGCACTGGCCGCACGCGAACAAAATAAGAAAGAGACCTACAAGACATGGCTCCAAGTTAACTGCACTGCGCTTATAAAAGCCTGTCAGCAGTAAAAGGGTTAGCAATACACGTAGCCATCTAAAAACAAGAGCTGTGCATCTGCCCGGCAGGAAAATAATGCCAGCTCAAAAAGCAGGCGGACAGATGAAAATAGCTACAGAGTTCCTTTACTATGCAGATCGTGTTCCACTTAAAAAGCGCTCCACTGCTCGCTTGCCACTTGCTATGAAAATTAAGCTTACTTTCCCCTCCCATTTCCCTAACCCTTTGCCACTGGCAGAGACATGCTCCACAAAAAATAACCATGCAAGAAGGTTACCTACCCCACCCTCACCATCATGCAAGGAGGTTACCTACCCACCCTCACCACCATGCAAGGAGGTTACCTACCCACCCTCACCACCATGCAAGAAGGTTACCTACCCACCCTCACCACCACGCAAGGTAACCTACCCACCCTCACCACCATGCAAGGTTACCTACCCACCCTCACCACCATGCAAGGTTACCTACCCCACCCTCACCATCGCACAACGAAGCTGCTGCTAGCATATCTCACCTTCTTCTGGTAGATGGCGATCCAGTCTGTTGTCGAGAACCACTTGTGGTTCTTGATGTCGTTCACGCCGTTCTTGAGGTTGCCGAAGCGCTTGGTGAGATCGACCTGCAGCAGCGAGCGTAGCAGGTCCTTCAGGTCGGAGCTGAAGTGCGACGGGAACCTAACCTGTGAACACACGGAACCAAGCCGAAAAGTGAACACACAGCACGAGGCGCGCAGCTGGTTTTTAATTAATTAATTGGATCTGGATCACCACCAAAATGTAATCAATTCTAAGTTACCCCATTTCTGACCTACCCTGAAAATTTAATTAATTAATTAATTGGATCCGGATCACCACCAAAATCTCATCAATTCTAAGTTACCCCATTTCTGACCTATCCTGAAAATTTTATTAATTAATTAAATCATGCACAAACCAACAAATACACGCCGGTGAAAACATAACCTTCTGCCAACCCCTTGGCGGAGGTAACTACACAGATTGGTACTATTCTACGTATTTACGTACGAATTGGGGCATTGTACGACGCAGTTTAGAAACTCGTAAGCCAGGCGGTAATGATGGGGTTGGTGGTGGTAGTGGGGAGTTATAGGTAGGAAACGTGCTTTAGTATTTTGCTAACACATTCGTGTATTGTAAAACATACGGGTTGAAAACTTTAGTTTCCAGTTTAATTACAAAAATTGAAAATAGCTGCCGACACAAGATTGCTTCACTCACCCGTAATACGTATTGCAGTGTCGTTCATCCATTGCGCTCTTGCTTGCTTGGTCGCCAGCGGTAGGCCCCTTATCTAGCTGATATCTCGGGTGCTGTCTCAGCTGCTGTGATCTGTGACATGTTGTACTATTGCGTCACAGTCAACCGTGGTACGCGTGTTATGTGTGTCGTCCGGCAAGTGATCAATTTGCTGAATGTCACCGCATAAAACTGCATTGTTCCGTTGGCTGAATCTTGCTACCAGAACCTGCACTCCTCCTTGCGTCGTCGTGATCATATTCTTCTGTTCCTCGCGTCGTCGTGATCATATTCTTCTGTTCCTCGCGTCGTCGTGAACATATTCTTCTGTTCCTCGCGTCGTCGATAGCCAGGTCGTACAAAATAAGTTCTGGCTTTATTGTGCCTTAGCGGCAACATCATTGTTCGTAGGCATTTCCATACGCAATAATCGTATGGCGGAAACGGCAACACTTCATTCCAACGTCACAATATTCCAATAATCATAGGTTTTCTGTCTTCTTTCTTCCTCTTCTTCTTCTTCATCATCGTTACAGCTGTCTTCACTCAGTGTTTCTCTTGACTTTTGTGCATCGTATAGCTATAGTACCTTCAGTTCGTTGTTTGGCAAG